AATGGACGGTGTAGATAAAATATTGTAAAAATGTACTATTTCTGAGACTTAAAATCTTTTTATTTTTCATGGTCATACATCTCGATGTCGAGATGATCAATCAAAGGGTTTTTCAACATTAAAACTACATTTTTCGATAGATTTTTGAGGTGCATCTGTAGTTCTACATAAAAGGTTACAACCTTATATAAACTTTTTCCTTTTTATTATTATAATTATAATTATCATTATCAATTGTTTTAGAATGAAGTTTGCATATGGTTGCATGCTTATATTACATCGAGGTATATGATCAATTGGAAGGTTTTCCAACATCGGAACACTCTCTTTTATAGGATTTCTGAGGTGCAACTAACTTTAAAGTATAAGGTTGCAACCTTATGCACATTTTTTCATTTTAAAACTTGTCCCCATAATCTTTCCAATATTTATAACAGAAAGGTAGTAGTTTAGGACTGCTCTTGCGATATTAACGTTAAATAATAGGCCATAAACTGGAGGAATGAGGATGAGGATGCAAAATAATGTAGACTATAGTAACTAAAAAAGCAAGATCATGGGGAATTATATTTTTTGAAAGGCTCTAAAACATGGGAATTTAACCTGGTAGTGTATTTTTTTCAAATTTCTATTTTCTACAACTTAAGGACATGTTGGTCATTGGACCTGACTCTTAAGAGTTGACAAATTATAAGCTTATATGCCCTAAGATTATATGAGCAGTGGGATTTCAAGTCCTAAAAAAAATGGGGATTTCAAGTCCTAAAGACAATGCAACTTGTAACACATTATCTAGATTCTAGACCTTCCATTTTCAAAATTTTAAGTGTTCATAAATCTGTATGATCTGCATCATTCTTCGAGCTTGAAGTTTATAATTTGGTTCATTGTTTAAAAAAATATAATTTAGTTTGAAAATAGATTTTTAGACTATTATAATAGTTTCTACAACAAAACTACATATTTTGCCAAGATTTAGAGGAGCGGCTTACTCTAGTTATTTAAAGAGGACTTATACAACCCGTACCATTGGAAGATTGCTTGAAGAGAGAGGAAAATGGCTGGAAAGATCTTTTGCAAATGAAGGAACAAGGGAGGCTATCTTTCACTTTGCTGATGACTTGGAGCTTGGCCTAGTCTAGATACATTATTCGATTTCTAAAAAAATTTTAAAATTAAAATACAAAATGAGGTCATGACCATCAGATCGGCTCATATTCAATCTGGGCCGTTGGGCTCATATGTTGATATGAGCTAGCTAGTGGGCTAATCTCAGCATTTTTCATATATATCTAAAGTTCCTGTATGCCCATGTGCGTACCGCTACAGTAAATGCCCAATGGCCTAGATCAAATCTGGGCCGATCTGACGTTCACGGTTGTCTAAGAGTATTTGAGTTTTATTTTTTTTTCTACAAATTAGAATGATATGAAATTTAGAGTTTATGTACATTTTAGTGAGACGCACCTAATAAAAATATAAAATATATATATATAGTTACCGACGACTATGGTTTAGGGTTTGAGAGGGATGCGCATGGGTTAGGGTTTGAGAGGGGCAGACTTCAAAATGGAATTGCAATATGAAGTACTGTCGTTTTTCAAGTCCATTATGTCCTGTCAATATGAATTCCACCTATTTTGGTGGAATTTAGATTTCTATTTTTTAGCCTTAAGACGTGGAAAAGTCAATTTTTATGATTTTTCAATTCCTCCTTCAGAGCATCCAAACACGATTTTTTATACTTTTTCTGGAAAAGTGGCTCCCCGAAATCTGAATTCAGAAACCAAACGGCCCTTAGCGAAGTGAGCTTCTATTGTTTCTCTTTCTTTCATTAAACACTTTACAAAAACTAAAAATCACAAAATAAATAGTAATAAGCAAAAATATCCTACACTTTGTACATGTGCACTGTTGGGTGAAGAGTTTTCCAATTCTAAGGCTATCCTTGGCTTATGTGGGAACAATTAATCATCTTGACCATTCACTGATAAAGGGAAAATATGATGGATCAAAAACCATGATCTCCTGCATAAGTATATGGTCAAATGGATGTGATATATAAGAATTTCCCTATTTGTATGTATCATCCTAGTGTAGGGGTGGTGTTCATCTTCTTTGTATTGTTTCAATTTATATCATTTATCACCAGGAAACCAGCATCCCACCTGAGCATACATAGAGATTCTTTCATAGAGGCCTAGTTTATGAGTTTCAATTAACTCTTGCTGAAGTACCAAATCATTTCTCTCGAAGGGTGCCTTTGGACCATGAAAATAGTTGATATGAGGTGTTAACCTTGTATTGTAGATTGTAGAAAAAAAGTGCACCGCTAAAATTCACCCTAAAAGGTTGTTCGGA